TCCAGCTTTGGGACTTGAGCTGCAGCTGGCTTCACTGAGAGGCAGCCAGGAGGCTGAGAGCTACATGAATAGCACTTTAATGAATGTGGTCATTGAAGAGTATAAATGGCAAGAAGGAATGGGTGAACACTAGGTAGTCAAGAAGGAATGTACAGTTAGTAAAGGAGTCAACCAAGTACATCTTACTCTCCAACCAATATTCTGTTCTGATTATTGATGACCTCTCTTACTTCAGTAGCAAAACTTACCTCTGGTTGTATCAGAGTAATCAATGTCATAGAATCATACAGCAAAGAAACAGACTCTTCAGTCCAACACATCCACGCTGACCAGACATCCCAGTCCCATTTGCAGTATTTGGCCCATATCCCTCGAAACCCTTTCTATTCATGAACCCATCGAGATGCCTTTTAAATGTTCTAATTGTACCAACCTCCACCACTTCCTCTGGCAGCTTGTTCCATACATGCACCACCACCTGCGTGAAAGTGTTACCCCTCGGGTCCTTTGTAAATCTTTCCCCTCTCACCTTAACCACTGCCTTCTAGTTTTGGAGTCCCCCATCATACATCTGCTGCTGACACTCTTTCCATACCTTTGTTAGCTGCAGACCTAACTGTTCCAACCAGTCTTGGCTGGCCTCCCATCCTGCATCTGCTGTAAACTGAGCTTTTTCAAATCTCTGTTTCCTGTATCCTATTCCACACTCAACCCTGCTCACCCATCATCATTTGTCTTTTTTAACCTGAAGTGTCCAAAACCCCGAAATTTAATATTTTTTTTACATTAATATAATATTAAAGTGCCCAGTTTTGTTCCTGTTATATGTCCATTCACGTGCAGGCTATACCAATGTATTATGCACAGCTTCAATATTGCAGCAGTGAAAGTGTTGTAGCAAAATTGAGGTATAAATTTATGAGTGTACCTTAATGTTAGATGTGAAAGGTTCTTTCCCCTTGTGTGAGAGTCTTAGTTACAGAGAGGTTGTTTCCCCTTGCGGGAGTCTAGGAGCAGACGGTATAAACTCAGAATGAGGGGGTTGCAGATTTAGATGAGATGAGGAGAAATTTCTTCTCTTAGAGGGTAGTGAATCTATGAAATTTTTTACCACAGTGGGCTGTTGAGCCTGGGTCATAAAATAAATTCAATTGAGATAGACAGATTTTTAGCCACTACGGGAATCGAGACCTATGGGGAAAAGACAGGAAAGTGGAGTTTGTGGATTACGAGATCATCCATGATCTAATCGGATGGTTGAGCAGACTTGATGGGCAGTTCTGCTCCTGTGTCCATGGTCTAATGGAGAGTGATGATTCAGGGGTGCAGTCAAAGCCAAATCTTGGCCTCTTTGGTGCCAGGGTTAAGAATGTCACTGAACATCAACAGGACAACCTGAGTTTGGGAGTGAATAATGGAAGGATGAAGAGTCAGCAGGTAGAAAGAGGGAGAAATTTAAGATTGAGATAAAATGTTTGGAACTGGCCTTCACACTGTGGTGTTTTAGAACTATCCCCAAGGAAGTTGCCCAGAAAGGCAAGTTTGTTCCCCATCTTGTGAACAGGAGGTGCTGGAGACTCAGTGGTGGAGGGGAGGCCAGTCCCTTTTTTTATGCTAAAGAAGGCCAAAGCTACCAGGATCATCCAGCCTCAACCGAGCGAGCAGCCTGGTTTAGTACACAGCCAGGTGTAATGCAGTGCACTGCAATGCAGGAATAAGCTCCATGATCTTCTATGCTCCACAATGGTTACTTCCACCATTTTGTTTCCCTGCTACCTCACACTCACAGGGACACCACCCACTCCAACTTTGCCACTTCACATGCCTCACAGCAAGGCTCACCAACTACAACTCTTTCATTATTCTATGCATAATATTCAGCGTCTCTCACCGCTTCATTTTCCCAAAGCCCTCTGTGTTTCCTACTCATTCACCGGGGAGAGCTCACCACCTCTCCTGCACAAACTGCTCTTCCATATACTGTCATCGTACTCAGTCCCTCCCTTTATTACACTGTCCATCATCCAGACTCATGTCTCCATAACACCCTGACTGATGTAACTGTGAACCGGTTGCACTTGACCTACAGGACTGACCAGGGCTCGATCCCCAGGCTTCAAGGTCACAGATCCCTGGGCTCCGTTTTCACCAAGGGCCTAATTGGCGGTGACCAATCCCCTGAACTGGAATCGGACAAACCCATTGATTAACTGCAATGATAGTCTTTGATTGATCGTAATCCCCTTTGACCCCACTAAAGACTGGTCCCCTTTGACTTTCAGACATGCCCATTTGTTTGCAGTGCTTACAGTGTCATTGCCATATAAGTTGTTTGTGCATACTGTAAATATGACATTGATGTAGCATGGTGCAGCAGAGCAACATGTTCACCTCCTTGACTGTTCCAGGCTCCAAACAGTAAAAAAACTGCCAATCTTTCTCTCTGTGTTAAAAACCAATGGAAGCCACAGAGGCTGGCAGCCTCCAAGTAAGTGCAAAATGAGTGAGCATTAAGAAAGTAACATAACAGCTATAAGATGCATCTTGTCCAGATGAATGCGTATGTGACCCTGCAGCCAAAGTGGTGAAAGGATGCAGGTCATAAATGACCCTGAACTCTAAAGTGAAGTGCTTAATTGGTGCATGGATTGGTCCAGAAGCAGCCATTATGGTGTGGTGAGGCTGGTGGTTTGCTGATGCCCATTCAGGATGAGGCCAGGGGACCCCTCAAGGACGTCATGGTGAAGACAGAGTTGGATAAAACGCGGAGAAGCAAGTTGCAAGCCATTGCCACTGGGTAACTGCTCAGACTTCCATGTTGGGAATTGGCACTGTCTTGTTTCTTGCGACTGGAGGAGAGAAATGGAGGCTGCATAGAAATGAGGTGAGATTCATCAATAGTTAAATGTAAGTGCGAGGAAATAAAGTGGTTGTCACTCATCAGCAAGAACCAGAACACAATATTTAAACTCTAAGGGAAACATTGGAAATTGCTTTCTTGATGTCGAGAATCTGCGTTTTTCCTATTTTTGCTAGTTTTTTTCCCCAACTTTCTTACCATTGCCCATCTCGCTCAAGGCAGCAAAAAAGTCTGCCCTATCCTTTAAAAAGAATTGTTTGCTATGGAAGGGCTTGAATCCGGATTGGGACATAAAATAACTTAATTGTTCTTGGTAAAGTAGTGAATTGCTGTTAATTCAAAACACGAGGTACAAAAATTCATGTCACTTTTACTGCTTTTGCCTTCAAATTTCTGAAGACCTTTTCTGATGAATCCATGATGGCTGCCTGGGTGCACAGTAAAGTGAGGATCAGCATAGAGGTGGAGACCCTTGGGCAAACAAACCAGTTCAGTAGGTGCATTGGCAAAATGTGTGCTGTTGCCTGAGCATCTGGATTTGCTTGTACAGTCCAACAGTACTGAGCTTGTGCCAGTGTGCTTACACATCATGATGGATAATTCACAGACCTACAGGAAAGCCACCATCAAAATCAATGTCTGGAAACCAGCCAGTAATCACAAACGATACCAAATGAGAAAAAGAGCATTGGGTCATGTTTCCCGTCAGCTCGTACAGCTCATGTGCATACCCAGCGCTCTAGATTCGAAACATCGTTGGAGATTTTCAGAGAACAAATGGACTGCTATAAGTTCCATAAAACTAGGAGTTTGGGTTTAAAGTGTAAGTACAGAAATATTTGATTTATTTATTGTCATGTGTATCTTGTTACAAAATACATTGAAAAATATTGTGTCATGTTGCCACTCTCCGCCACCATCTTGAAACGCAGAAAAATAAACCAAAGTATTTAATATAAAGGTAGAAAAATGAAGAAATAAAGTCACCAGTAAAACATTCAAACCATCGAGGCAATGCAATGAAAGTTCATAGGACTGAGTCATGAAGGAAAGACTGGAGGAAGTCATAAGAACATAAGAACATAAGAACTAGGAGCAGGAGTAGGCCATCTGGCCCTTCGAGCCTGCTCCGCCATTCAATAAGATCATGGCTGATCCTTTCGTGGACTCAGATCCACTTACCCACGTTCTCACCGTAACCCTTAATTCCTTTATTGTTCAAAAAAAACGACCTTTTTTTTAAAAACATTTACTGAAGTAGCGTCAACTACTTCACTGGGCAAGGAATTCCATAGATTAACAACCCTCTGGGTGAAGAAATTCCTTCTCAGTTCAGTCCTCAATCTGCTCCCTCTAATCTTGAGGCTATGCCCTCTTGTCCTAGCTTCACCTGCCAGTGGAAACATCCTCTCTACTTCTATCTTATCTATTCCCTTCATAATTTTATATGTTTCTATAAGATCCCCCCTCAATCTTCTGAATTCCAATGAATATAATCCCAATCTACTCAGTCTCTCCTCATAAGCCAACCCCCTCAACTCTGGAATCAATCTAGTGAACCTCCTTTGCACCCCCTCCAGTGCCAGTACATCCTTTCTCAAGTAAGGAGACCAAAACTGCACACAGTACTCCAGGTGTGGCCTCACCAGCACCTTGTACAGCTGCAACATAACCTGTCTGCTTTTTATTTCAATCTCTTTAGCAATGAAGGACAAAATTCCATTTGCCTTCCTAATTACTTGTTGTACCTGCAGACCTACCTTCTGTGATTCATGCACAAGGACACCCAGGTCCCTCTGCATAGCAGCATGCTGCAACTTTTTACCATTCAAGTAATAATCCTTTTTACTATTACTCCTACCAAAATGTATGACTTCACATTTATTTACATTGTATTCCATCTGCCAGACCTTTGCCCCCACTCAATGTCAGATTCGACAGTCCCAATGAAGCAAGAAAGAGGAGGGTTTACTCATGCAAAGGATGAACGAGATACTTTTTTAAAAAATTCGTTGGAATGTCAGAATGACTGATGAGGACAACATTTATTGCACATCCTTTCTGCTGTTGAGAAGGTGGTGGAAAGCAACTTGCTCCATCATGAGTCATAGGCCTAGTGACCAGATACGAGGCCCTTCACCCTGCCGCTGCTGGAATGCTGTCTTGCCTCCATTGATGCCCTCGCCACTATGAGTCCTTGCTGGACCTCCCAACACAGACGTCACTGATGCTGCCAGGTACTGAACTGGCCCAAACTCAACTCCGCCGCGGCCACAAGTCTGCTTTGGGCCCACCTCGCTAATACAGCCACTGCTGAGGCCGCTGGGTCTCATACTGGGTCCAAACGTGCCTCCGCTGCTGCCTCTATGAACCTGCGCTGAAAGCAGATGCCGCCATGTACCCAAATGCACCTCCACCGCAGCAGCCATAAGGTGACACTAGGACCACTTCGATGATGCAAAAATTGCCAGGAAGTCAAACTTGCCTCTGACACTGCTGCCGCGAGTCTGCGATGCTGGGCCTACTCGAGTCTGCGCGTCTGGGTCTACTCGAGCCTGCGCGCCTGGGCCTACTCGAGTCCGCGCACCTGGGCCTACTCGAGTCCATGTGTCTGTGCCCCCTCGCTGCTGTGAAGCCATCGCCAAGACCGAGCTCTTCAGCAAGAGGTAAGTAAAACAAAATAGAGGTGGGAAAAAACAAGCGAAGAAAGAAAAGAAAAGAAAAGCAGACGGAGTGGACGAGCCTTAAGTTCAGAAGTCCTACTCCACCGCCATCTTACCGGAAGTGACATTTTGAAATACAGATTAAACCATATGTAATCAGTCAGATTGCAGTTACTCCACAGCGGGGGGAGGTAGTACAATTAATTATAGGAAAATTAGAGTGTTCTTGTTGCTGCATTTCATTGATGGTTTAAGAATAGTTTAATGCTGTAATTTAATCATACAACAAATAAACTCTAACGACTGTTAAACTTTGAATCCTGATAATGAAAAGATCCTAACTTGATGAACAGAGCTTTATTCTACTCTGTCCTTTGAATCTTTTTTGTTGTACTTATATTTTACTTGGAATGATTGATTGCTAAACTTACCTTGATTCAGAACTTGGCTGTAACAGATGTTAATTAAAAATAAATAAAGCTTTGATGAAATGTGACTGGATAGAACAGTGGAAAGTGAAATTTAATACAGATGGCACAAGTAACTCTCGATGATGTGGAGACAGCTAAAGCTGAAAGGATTTCATGATGGTAGGAGATTTGACACGTAACAGCAATAAAAAGCAAACAGATGCTGAATTATATTTTGGGGTCGGTTGAATATAAGTCAGAAGATGTCAACCTAAAACTGGACGTACGAAGCCTTGAATACCATGTTCAATGTTGATCGTTCAGTCACCAGTAAAACATTCAAACCATGGAGTCAATGCAGAGAAAGTTCACAGGACTGAGTCATGAAGGGAAGACCGGAGGAAGTCGGATTTGACTGTCCCAATGAAGCAAGTAAGAGGAGGGCTTACTCATACAAACGATGAATGAGACATTTTTAAGAAAAAAAATTCATTGGAATGTCAGCATGACTGGTGAGGACAACATTTATTGCACATCCTAATTGCTGTTGAGAAGATGGTGGAAAGCAACTTGCTCAGACCACTGCAGTTCATGTGGTGCAGACACCCCCTCAGAAATATGAGCAAGGGAGTTCCAAGCTTCTGACTTAGCAACAGTGATATAGCTCCAAATCAGGGTGGTGTGTAGCTGGAAGAAACTTCCATGTGTCTGATACACTTCTCGGTGATGCAGGTTTGGAGAATTTTTAAAGCACTTTTGGTCAATTGCTGCATTGCTGGCACTCTGCACTTTTATTGGAGGGAGTGAGTGTTTAATGGTGTGCCGATCAAACAGGCTGCTTTGTCTTGGATAGTGTTAAGCTTCTTCATAGAATCACAGAATCCCTACAGTGTGGAAGCAGGCCATTCGGCCCATCAAGTCATCATCGACCCTGTGAAGAGCATCCCACCCAGACCCACACCCCTACCCTATCCCCGTAACCTGGCATTTCGCATGGCTAATCTACCTAGCCTGCACATCCCTGGACACAATGGGCAATTTAGCCTGGCCAATCCACTACTCTGTACATCTTTGGACTGTGGGAGGAAACTGGAGCACCAGGAGGAAACCCACACAGACACGGGGAGAATGTGTAAACTCCACACAAACAGTTGCCTGAGACTGGAATTGATCTGGGTCCCTGGCGCTGTGAGACAGTAGCTCTAACTACTGAGGCACCGTGTCACCACGTTGAGGCCTAATGACTTCCTACATTTCCCTTCTGGGTTGTGTAAAGTACCCAGTGTCAGGAAATTCTCCAATGCCACCTCCTGTCATTATACATGAAGTGCAACTTTTCAACATTCCCAAGATTTTAATAACTATAGTTTCTTACCTAGAATCTCAAAAATCAAAAACCTGATGGCTACAAATTTTACTGAACATGTAATGGTTCCCAAGTGGATTTTGATTTTTTAAAAAAATTTATAAATTTACAGTCATTTAGCACAGGAAGAGGCCACTCTGCCTATCTGGTCTCTGTTTGTTTTTTGAGAGAAAACTTCTCTCGCAACAGCCCTGCTACTTCTTTTCATTTATTTATCAAACATCTTTCTGACAGTTTTAATTGAATGCATGGTCTCTTCAGACAGTGCATTCCAGATTAAAATAAGTATTTTTGCTAAAATAAAACTGAACACTTATTCTGTAGATTTTTTCTTGTCAATTCCTCAAAACTGATAACTGACCATCCTGCCATGACAAACAGTTTCTTCCCATCTATCTTGTCGAAACCTCTCATACTTTTGGACACCCTTATTAAGACTGCCTTCAATCAGCTCTGCTCTGCGGAGAACAGTTCCAGATTTCTGTGAGAGTTGTTGACACTTTTCCTGTTTTCCTTTACCTAATCTCAGCCAACATCCACCCTTAGCTCTGAAATACTCTGGGCAGGGATAAAGGTACAAATAAGGAGAAGTTGTTCTGCTTTATACTAAAACTGGAGTGTGTTTCTGCCTGGAGACCTACAAACATCTCCTTCTCCTCCTGAGATTTACAGAAAACCTCATGTGCTGGCTTGCCAGTTATTTCCCAATGCCACCTGGAACTGTTAAAAACACAGAGCAGGTCCCGCTCCAAATTTTACACCTAATGAAGTTTGACAAGAGAAACAGTTGTGCTTCAATTCGTTATCAGAGGCGATCTCTACTCAGTCTGTTTAATAAAGGCAGGTAACCGTGACTTGAGGCTACAGTGAAAGACTGGTGTAATCAGTAGACATCCATCTGAGTTTTTTGACATTATGGCATGAGAGGACTCAATAGTGTTACTCTCCTTCCTTTCAGTAAGTCATCTAACTGGTGTGGTGTCATCCCATAGACCCATCTGTCCAAACACTCTCTCCCACCATGCAGAATGTTGGAATGCTCGGATAATCGACAGAATCATGAAAAGGTGCTGTTTATTATATGGATTAGTGTAAACAAGTGTTAAATTGTTTCTGGAAATGGTTTTGCATTTGTTCACTCAACAGCATGAAGATAGCCCTCTGGGCACCTCCAACACATCTTTTGCAGATACAATCCCCTTATCACACTGTTCAAACACTAAGCCGCACACCAGCAAATAAATCAAGGTTTAATATAAGGTTAGAGAGGAGGGAGCTGGATAATATCCCAGCTGATTCCAAGATGACATATTACCTACAGTCCTGACATCAGACTCAGTACTACAGCATGTACAAAAAGGCAAGTATGTACCATGTAAAGAATGCATCCCTTTTGATAACATGGTCAAGTTGGAGGAGGCGTTTTACAAAACATTCTTGGTGCAATTTTGCCAACTGTCTAACGATCTACTGTCAAGTTCTGTGCTTCTGTTACAAGTAGAATTAAATGGGAACAATACCTTTTCCATCCTGCGTGATTGCTGTGATAATCTAGCAGTTTACAGTGGGTGCAGTGATATTGTTTTGAGAGCAAACAGTAGACAAATGAATGATAAACAACATTTCGCAGTTTCTATTTGCTATGCCAGATCCATTAGCAAATGCCTTCTCTGGCCAATTGACTCATGTTCCCTGAAAGCCTTTATTTTAAAATTCCCTTCACTGTAATCAAATCATGTTAAGAGGTTGAATTATCCCCACCTCAGTGAACTGCCATAGGATCTCCAACCCTCTGAGAACTCTGCAACTCTGGAATCTTCAATCATGCTTCTCTCCAGACCAGTATTGGTGGTCGAGCTTTCAGAAACCTAAGTTCTACATTCTGGTGTTCTCTTATTCGAGCTCCCTCCTCTCTACCTGACTCTCCTCCTTAAAGATTGAAACAACTGCACAGATTCTGATTTTGCGTCACCAAGTCACCCCTTATTTACATGTGCACAGTACAGCCAGCTTGGAGTCAGTCCCTGAACTGAGGCGATTCTGAATCCCCAGTTTATATTGGTCAGCCAGGGCTTCCAGATTGGCCCAGGTTAATGACCCCAATCAAGGATCTCATATTCAATCCCCTAAGTCTAGGGATGTAGGCCTTGTCTTTCTCTTGTAGCTTTTCCTGCAATACTTTCCCCTCCAAGTCCAGTTCCTCTGATTTGGACTCCGACACGGGCAGTGTGTACCAGACCATAGTCCATCTCTTGCATCTGGAATGTTTCGGGAGAGTTTCCTCCTCTTCTTCTGGCAGTAACAGTATTGAGGCTGCATCAATCTTGGACTCTGAAATTTCCTTGTCGCTAGATGGAGGGGAGAACTTATAGTTTCTTACAGGCCTTCTGACTGTTCGGGTATCTTTTGTTCCTGCCCCAGTTGCGAGGTGACAGCTTTCAGGCAATTCACACATTTGTTCAGGACTGCCTCACCTACCATAACTTTGTAAGTCACGGACTTGACCTTGCATCAACCTCGCCTCGAATCCATACAGGGCAATTTCCATGGTTCCAGCACCAAACTTCATCCCTTATTTACATGCGCACAGTACACAGGCTGTAGTCAGCCTGCTCAGAGTCAGTCTCTGAATTGAGGAGATTCTTAATCCACTCTTTATACTGTCAGCCAGAGCTCCCTGATTGGCCCAAGTTAACAACCCCAATCAAAGGTCTTGTAATCAATGAGATCTAACTGGTTCCAATCACTACATCAATTCTGCTTCAAATATTGTCCCTTGGCTGAGTGTTTAATATCCTGTCCTAATGGCTGCCTCTTCAGTTAAATTGGCATTTGATTACAATCTTGTGAAAAACTTTGGAATGTTTTATTACATGAAAGACATTATATGTGTGCAGATTTTTGTTGAATTTTGAACATTAGAAGATTTTTAACTTCACCTTGGCAGCAGACATGGAACACAAGGATTGTAAGTCACATTAGCATTGGGA